CGGTCTGGGAGCTGTCCTCCTGCAGGAAAACGGAGGAAACTTAAACGCCATCGCTTACGCGAGCCGGTCTCTGAATGCTCCAGAACGCAATTATAGCACTACAGAGAAAGAATGCTTAGCGGTGATATGGGCACTAGAAAAGTGGCGAGTCTATCTCGAGGGGAGTCATTTCCAAGTTGTCACGGATCATCAGGCTCTCACTTGGCTCTTCAAGAAGGCTCGACTTACTGGCAAGTTTGCACGCTGGGTACTGAGACTGCAGGCATTCTCCTTCGAGGTGACCTACCGTCCTGGCGTTCTCCATCTGGTCCCTGACGCACTGTCTCGATCTCATGAGAGCCCAGTGGTTGGAGTTGTCCGAAGGCGTCAACCACGTGCAGTAGCTGACACATCAGTAGCTGACATATCACAATCTGACCTTACCATGATGATTGACCCCTCCTACAATGACAATGAGCGCCAAGCTGAGGCATGTGCTGCTCCACGGTGTGAGTACCCACAGACAGAGCCAGTCGACTGGATTCAATGCGACGGATGTGATAAATGGTTCCACATGCTGTGCGTCCATGTCCGAAAGAAGGAAGCAGACAAGATGCCCACTTACGCGTGTCCTCAGTGCAAGAAACAGCGCTGGGAGAACCGACGAGAAATGGAGTGGCAGACTGCATCGCAGACGTCGCTTGCAGAAGCTGACCAGTGTGACCCTGTGCATGACGAGGCACAACTCCGGACGGAACAGGAAAAGGATCCCACCTTGACCAATCTACCGTCTGATTCCCCCGTTTACCGCCATCAGAATGGAGTTCTCCATCACTATCATCAGGAAAAATGGAAAGTGGTAGTCCCCAAATCCCTACAACGAGCTGTACTGCAGGCATGCCACTGCAAACCAATTGCTGGTCACCTGGGACGCAGTAAGACATTGCAACGCATCAACAGTTTGCGGTTGTGGTGGAACGGAGTTGCCAAGGATGTCCGCAGCTTTGTTCGAGCCTGCCAGTCTTGTCGGGAAACGAAGCCAGTTTTTCGAAAGCCTGCTGGTTTCATGTTGTCTACCAGCTCGGAGAGTCCTTGGGAAGTTCTTGGTGTTGACTTGATGGGGCCTCTGCCCCGAAGTTATGCCGGACATGAATATGTCCTCGTTGCAGTTGACCACTACACAAAGTGGGTTGAGGCGATCCCCATTCGCAGAGCTACAGGAAAAGAAGTGGCCAGTGTACTTGTGCGACAGCTGTTTTGTCGGTACGGTGCACCGAAGAAGTTGTTGTCAGATAATGGTGCACAGTTCACCTGTCGGGCGATGGAAGCTGTCTGCACTGAGTGGGGAGTCCAGCAGATTTTCATTTCACCCTATCATCCCCAAAGCAACTGGGTAGAGCGGGTAAACCGCAACCTCAAAGGCATGATCCGCGCATTCATGGGCGATGACCATCGCTCATGGGATGTCCATCTGGCAGAGTTCGCTTTCGCGATGAATTCGGCTCACCACGAGACGATCGGAGTCGAACCGTCCATACTAATGCTAGGCAGGAAGATGACGACTCCACTCAGCAACAAGTGGAACACACCCATCCAGGCCGACGCGGCCACAGATAAAGCAGCACTCAAGACACACGTCGAAGCATGTAGACAGCGTACCCAGGCCAAACGTAAAAAACACTACGACAAGCGTCGACGACCTCCAGACATCACTGCATCAGAGGGCAAACATGTGATGGTTCGCACCCACCCGAAATCGAGTGCTCAGGCCAACTTCAATGCAAAACTGGCACCTTTGTGGCGTGGGCCATTCATAGTGAAGGAGTGTCTTACCCCAGTAAACGTCAAATTGACTGACATAGCAAATCCTTCGAAGGAACTTGTGGCCCACGTAGATCAGCTCAAGCTGTGTTGATTTCACGGACTGAAATATTCCATGATCGCCGTGAACTGTGTGGCTGAGACATTGTCATGTTTTTTTTTCCTTGTTAAACTTTGTTCTTCAACTTTATTGTTACATGTTTGAGAGCAAAAAATGCTCGAGTTGTTTGCATAATGCATGAAAACATGTTTTGGAGACACAGCAAAGCAGAGAAACAAAACAAAAAACCCAAAAAATTATGTGAAATTCTTAGGATTGCAGAACAGAATCCTTTTAATAATCTGTATAACTTTGATCATTGCAATAATTTTGTACACTTTATTTCTAGATGCAGAAACCTTGCTTAGAAGAACCCAAGCGAAACTTGTTTTATTGAGGCATTTTTAGCCATGAACCATTATTTGAGCATGTCATTAACTACATGATTATCTTTCTTTTGATAGGAGGAAAACAACTATCAAGATCTCATAATATATTTTCTTTTAACCCACAGTCTCATTTAGCCGGGGGGAGTGTAACGGGATTACACACTTATCACCAACTGTATGTTATATTTCCTTTATATTGATGACGTAGGGCTTGAATGGGGCATGCTGGGATATAATCCAAGATGGCTAATGTTATAATGTTTATGTGATTTCCAATCAGTCGTAGATCAGAACCGAATAAACCAGATGATCATTTCCTTGTTAATCCAAAGTCGCCCGATATATCGATGATTTGAACCCTTGATTGTTGTAACTTGGAATCAGGAAGGTTACAGTACCAGTCATTAAGAGAAAGATTGACTAAAAAGGTCATCAATCTAGTAAATATTGACCCAATGACAGAATCTGTCATCCGAGTTAAAATATCTGGTGATGGTACTCCGATTGGAAAAAGAATACATGTTGTCAACATTGTATTTAGTGTCATCAATGAAACACATTGTAAAAGTGTAACTGGTAACCACTTACTGGCAATACTCAAAGTGAATGAAAAATATGAGTCGCTCAAAGAAGCACTAAGCCCCCTGATTCGTGAGGTATCTGCAATAGAAACCATTACAATTCAAGGCAGAGTATATGAGGTTGCTTTCTTCGTCGGTGGAGATTTAAAGTTCTTGAATGTTGTGACGGGGTTAGATGCATGCAGTGCTACATACAGTTGCCTGTGGTGTCATTGCTCAAAGGTGGACAGATGGGATCATAATAAGCATTGGTCAATGACAAATCCTGACCAAGGGGCACGCACAGTAGAATTGATCACAGAGTGCGCAAAGCGGAAAAAGAACAAATACAACTGTTCCAATCTGTTTAGCACTGTTTAGCACTGTTCCTTTGATTCGTATTGTTCCTGACACACTTCACATGTTTCTGAGAATAGCAGATCAGCTTGCTGGGCACTTAATAGCAACACTTAGGGAGTATGACAATGAAGTAATATCATCACGACAAGTTGTACCAGGACCAAACATTGCCAAGTTTGAAACTTTTGTTCAGTCTCTGAACATGGTTTGCCGTTCAGTGTCGATAGAGCTGGTAAACTGACCTACAGGGATTTCATTGGACCCGAACATTGGCGAATTCTCAATTCAATAGATTTGAATCACTTCTTGGCAGGTACATCATTCACTAAACTTCCAAGCTTAAAGGAATTGTGGAGTAGATTCAGGATTTTGATAAGTGAAATATCAAACTTGTCCAATCAAAATGAAGTTGCTGTAAGTAAGTATGAAGAAAATGCAAGGTGTCGGCTAGAATTTTTTTTGTAAAATATACCCCACCAAGGATGTCACTCCTTACATGTATATTTTAGCCAATCATACTGCAGAATCAATCAGATTGAATGGTAACATTTCCAACTTCAGTCAGCAGGGTCTCGAGAAGCTGAATGATTATGTCACAGGTTGGTTTTTTCGAGGCACTAATCACAAGAAGCATGCCCTGCAACAAATCATGGAGAAACAAAATCGCATTGAAGACCTTGAAATGGAATGCAAACGTGCCATGAAATTCAGTGTAACATGCAGTTCATGTGCCACTCATGGACACAACAAACGCACTTGTTGTCGAGCTAGTAATAGCAGTTTAAATAAGTGATGGAGATTTGAGTCAAGCAGTGCAGCAGTAGGCCAAAATTCTACTTAGAGATTCCACTGTATGAAATTACATTCAAGAGTATTTATACATGTAGGTGATTGTCACACTGGAGTCAACTTATGACATCATCTTATAATTGTAATTAATTCAAACCTTGTCAGCCATTTATAAATTGTCATGTTCCTATATGGATACACTATGAACAACTGCAAGTGTTTAATATTTCAATTCAGAAAGTGTTTGACATGTTTAATTAATGAAACAATGTGTTTTATTGTAATAAGTTGAAGTTAAATTGTCAGTAATAGTCATTTCATCAATATTTCTTCTCATCAGATTCCTATGTTTAAATAATACTATACTTATTCAACATGCAAGGTTAATCACCAAGTGGTGTTATAAATAATTTGATAGCATTAACAACATGATTTATTGTTACTACTTTGAATTGAAAATTTTAGTTTGTCGTTGGGAACTTTTTCAGTTGACTTTAATATTGAAATTGTTGATATTGTTGATAAATTTGAAAAGTTTGAATGAAATTGTTATTAAATATTGATGTGATGACAAATTAGTTTGTACTACATGTATATTGAAATCAAGCTACATGTATCATGGAATAAAGTTCAAGTGCTCAGTTATTCTGATTTGTAACCATTGACTCTTGCATCATGGATATTACCTCAATAAGCTTTAGTAACGCCATGGAGGCCTGAGGAAACACTAACAGTATTTTGTTTTTTTTGGGGGGGGGGGGGGGGTCCAACAGTCGAAAGCCAGCTACACACGTACGTACACAAATCAAGTTAATGAGTAAATACAAACTTTAAAAATAAACATTAAATTTGAATATACATGTAACTATATCCGAAGAGAATAGGAAAGCAGAGACCAACAAGCAGGCCCGGATAAACTGAAGCCCCTCAAACCTGGACAGTTTATAGGAGACACACACTTGTGAAGAATTTTGGTGGCACACGGCACCCGCGCAGTTTTGAACTACATACAGCAATCCCCGCGTTATGAATGGTACGGTCTGCGTACGCGCTGACCTACTTTCACGGCTGCAGCGCTAGCGCAGGATCCTGCGTTGACGCGCTGTCCAAAAACGGTCTAAACTTTTCCATATATATGGTGAGCTGGGTGAGGGAGTTGGGGTGATGGAGGCTGGGACGATGGGAGCTGGGGTGATGGGGGCTGGGATGATGGGAGCTGGGTGAGGGGTTTTGGGTGATGGGAGCTGGGTCGGGAGTTTTTGGTGGTGGGAGCTGGGTGAGGGGTTTTGGGTGATGGGAGCTGGGTTGGGTGATGGGAACTTGGTGAGGGGTTGGGGTGATGGGAGCTGGGTAAGGGAGTTGGGGTGGTTGGGGCTGGGATGATGGGGGTTGGGTGATGGGAGCTGGGTGAGGGGTTTGGGGTGATGGGGGCTGGTCGAGGGGTTGGGATGACGGGAGCAGGGTGAGGGGTTTGAGGGTGATGGGGCTGGGATGATGGGAGCTGGATGAGAGGTTTGAGGTGATGGGAGCTGGGTGAGGGGTTTTGGGTGATGGGGGCTGGGTCAGGAGTTTTGGGTGGTGGGGGTTGGGGTGATGGGTTGGGGGTAATGGATGATGGGATGATGCAGATTGATGGAAATGGCCAAACAGGGCGGGGTGACTTTCACTTGCTTTTTCATTACAGCTACACTACAATGTATAACAGTTTATAATAAGGTCTTTTCTCTGTACTTGAATGAATTGAATTGAAGCTTCAAATTTAACCTCTTTGGATTTGATGTTTCACCTGTTGATCTGGAGTTTTACCCAAGTTTTTGCATATAGTTCTTCTGTAGTTTTACCTCTTTGGCTTTGATTTTTCACCTGTTTGAACTGGTTGCTCAATTAATGGCTCTAAGCTACATCACTAGACAAATCCCCGTGCTTTTCGATCAATGTTTTAGCAGGCTATAATTATTATTGCAATTTCAACAGCAAACTTTGTCACTCTACAGTTTTCTAAAAGTAGCCACACGTCACCAAGCTCCGCTTCTATTTAAAGAAAATGTTGCTACTAAATAAGCCAGTTCAACATCCTAATTCACTGTTCTGTGAAAATATGAAATATTCATCATTATAACGTTTTGTTAACATTTGTAGCCTGGTGGTTAAATTTCAAAGTGGTGTTATCAATATAATTATTATGTGTACTCGTACTCCTAATGAATTACATATAATGGACTCTATTCAGATAGGCATGGGATCATCACTGTTACACAAATTTGTGGATACAACCACAATTACAAACCAGCTTTTATTTTACATTCCTGGCTGTAAAAATATGTGTTCACCTGAACTTAAGTGGCTTTTGTGCAAATAAAATGTTCAAAAGGAAACTTATACAAGTCTAAGTCATAAGTTGTGTTCTTATTTTTAAATACAGATTTAAGATGCAAAAATTGTCTGTCCCCTGTGACAAACGTGATGTTCAAAAATACACGTCAGCATTTATTCATGGTTAGTTGATAATGTGGGTTGATCAGTCTTAAGAACTTGGAAACAAGGACTTTATTTAAACACCTTTAATGTTAAAATTATATTTAATTTTCTAAAAAAATTAACTTTAATATTGTTTTGTCTGTCCATGTGACAAACCTGATATCAAAAACATGTCAGTATTTCTCACTTCCAGGTTATCAAATATTGACTGACCAGCGTAAAAACAATCTGATTATGATTTATAGGGCACTTTCAACTCTGACGTGATAAAGAGGTCATCTTTGAGAAACAAATGAATATTTCAAGTTGTTTTGTCTGTCCCGGTGACAAACGTGACTTTCTCTGCATCATCCACCTTGTAAATCCTAAAAAAAACCTACAGTTTCTTTGAAAGTTCCTTGATTATTAACATTGAGGTAGTAAATGACACATATCAAGTTTGATTGAAATATATGTATTTTTGTGGAACTAGGATGAAACGAGGAAATAGGTGACTGCACTATGTTCCGACACCCCTATGTTCCGACAACCTAGATTGTGTTACTCCCGGTTAGGGTTAGGAATAGGAATATGTGCAGTCGGAACATAGGGGTGTCGGAACATAGAGGTGTAACCAGGAAATATGTCTGTCCTTGTGACATACATTATGTCTTCGAGATTAACGTGCCATAACTTCGTTAACGTGCCATAACTTCTTTAATACTCTTTGAATTATCTTAGCCTTTCTTGGCTAATAAGCATACACATGGATGTTAATCACAAACCAAAACAGTGGTGAAAAGTTATTGCAAAAATTTCACCTGCAATGTCACACAGTTGTGACATTTACTGTGGATAGACCCACTTATTACTGAAGGAGAATTTATGAAACAGAGGTAGGGATAGTATTATCAGGAGTCACATGCACTGCAGTAATTATTTATGATTGAAATTTACATATAATGTCAAACATGTAAAATGCATTAAATAAATACTTAAAAAATAATTATAATTAAATCAAAAACCAAATTATTTGGCAAAAAAAGAGGGGACAAACCATGTTGTCAATTAATTGCAATATTTTAAAGTATAATGAGATGAGTTGAGAGTTTTGGTTGGTTTTGTCATGTTTGTCAGTTTATTGTCATTCACTTAACTAAATGCCAAAAACTAGCCCAAAAAAGGACTTAAGTTGAAGAAAAAAGACCACATGAGGCTGCAAAAGCCATTTTACAATGCAAGCTGCAATAAAAAAAAAAGTCAAATGTCAGTGGAACTTGTTAAAACATGGAAGTGTCCTGAACTACACGAGTTCCGCGATTCCAAACGCCAGCTGTCATAGCTGTACGTGTGGGCGTTTCGTCGCTTCGTACCTACGTACATGAATGACATGTACATGTACATTGTACGTGCACGGTAGGTTTGTACACAGACACACGTAGTACTAGTGAAATACGCACGTGGCGCCAAAAATAACCTCAAAAGGGATGTTGGTAAAACACGGACCGGTGGGACGTTCGACGGTGGAACGGTATTGAAGACTAACCAAACACTATTTGTTAGCCCTAAAAAAGTTAAATCATCATAAATCTTCATAAATATCCAACCTTTTTGTGAAAAATGCTGGCTGCGCTGGCTGGCTGGGAGCGCAGTAATCTGTAGTGCACCTGCAGAATTGTAGAACACATGCCGTACAGGGATGCATGCCGTTTACAAATCAAGTGTGTAGCTAATGGTCAGTGCATTATATAGCACAAGTTTCATGTATCCTCAACAACTTCTCTGAAAATGTCTCTGGACAATGTGACACAGGAAGGAATTAATAAGACTTCCACAACTATAGGATATCTGTATGAAAGACCCAGTGCTCTGCAAATTGCTGGATGTAAGATGATAGATGGGAACTCCAAGAACTTGAAAAATATTACTTTGACCCAGAGCAAGGGGTCTTAATAGAACATCATTTCGAATGTTTTTTTAATAGGTCAACTACAGATATTTTGCACCATAGGTTTCACACACAATCTCCGCCCACAATAGTGTATGGGCTGTTTTCAGTATGAAAGACCCCGTGCTCTGCAAATTGCTGGGTGTAAGATGATACACAGGAACTCCAAGAACTTGAAAAACACTATTTGACCCAGAGAAAGGGGTCTTCGAACATAGTATCCATCTATTTTTAATACTAGGTCAATTATTGCAAGATGCGCCATATGTTTTACACACATTCCCCGCCCACGAAAATGGTCATTTGTCAGTATAAAGGACCCTATCTCTGGGAATGGCTGGATGTATGATGATAGAAACTTTTCCGGAAATTTTGCTGCCAGCAAAACAAATTGCGTTTCGTATTCCTGCAGCAAAATTTCCGGAAAAGTTTTTCATTCAGTAAAATAAACAGACTCTTAACATGAGTTTGGACATGTGTAAACGGTTGTGGGTGAAATAACAATATGTACTTAGATGTACTTTAACATCTGTAGGTGTTTGGTCAAATTTGGTTGATTGTTATCACATTAAATAGCATAATAAAATTTGCATTTACGGAAAGTGCGTAAAATTACGGCAAAAAAATACGGAATATTTCAATTAACGGAGTCCGTAAATTTACGGATATTTTTAACAGTGCATGCTCTGGAAATGGCTGGGTGTAAGATGATTGATGGGAACTCCATGAAACAGAAAAACATTACTTTGACCCAGAACAAGGGGTCTTCGTATATAATTTCGATCTATTTTTAACAGTAGTTCGATTATAGCACGATGCACCGTATGTTTTACACACAATTACAGCCAACAAAACGGGCCGTTGTTTGTATGAAAGACCCCATGCTCTGGGAATTGCTGGTTGTAAGATGATATTTAAGAACTCCAAGATCAAGAAAAACATTCCTTTGTCCCAGAGCAATGGGTCTTCGTATATAATTCTAATACTTCTTCAATAGTAGGTCGATTATTGCACCATGCGCCATATACACGAAATCCACGCCAACAAAAATGGTTTCAGTATGAAAGACCCCATGCTCTGGGAATGGCTGGGTTTAAGATAATAGATGGGAACTCCATGAAACAGAAAAACATTACTTTGACCCAGAACAAGGGGTCTTCGTATATAATTTCGATCTAGTTTTAATAATTAGTTAGTTGATTATTGCACGATGCGCCGTAGGTTTCTTCACGCAACAATGCCAAGGTACCTGACTCAAATCAAATATTGCTGCATCAATATTGCTGCATTGGGTGTGAAGTTTTTGCTTGGACTAAGCTTTACATTAAGATCCACAAACGGTCAGTCTGAACTTTTTTCGTTTTTTGGCAATATACATTTTTCAGACTGAAATGTCTTCTGTTGACATTTCTACGCCAACTAAGGGACGATTCACAAGATTCAATAAAAGACGATTGTAAACACCATCCCATACTAGTTGTTCACTTTGGTAAACTTTGGTACCACTCTTCTCCAACAATTTTTGTTACAATCATTTGGTCATATTTGATATGTCGTTTTGTTCACTTCCCAAACAAGTATCCATTTTGTTAAAGCAGAGCATTATGTCCACATGCTGTCCGAAATGTTAACCTACGCTAATTTAAATTTGTCTGGCAAATATCTTCAGCAACTTGCGTCCTTTTTCAAGACCTTTACCTCAAAAAGCAGGTCCTCCAAATGCTTCATCATAATCAACTTCTTCTGTTACAGACTCTCTTGCAGCTTGTTCTACCAATTTTTCGACATATACTTTGTCATGCATTCAACATGATATCGAGCATCAGCAACATGCAGATCACTAAGTGCCCCTGACACGAACCAAAACCTGACTTGCCCCGCTGGGCACAGGTAGCAATAATAGCATCCAGGGCCACGATCTGCAGTTTTACATAACGCAGCTTTTCTCCATATGCCAGGGTGTTTTTGTCTGTCGTGTGACATCACATTCAAACCCACAAAACAAACAATGCTCTTTGAAAATAAATCCTCTGCACATTTTGCAGCTTGTTCAAGATGTCTACTGACTTGCAATCTGAATGTATACACTGACACACAGTTTTTATGGTAGTGTACCGGTACATGCAGAGAACTGTCAACATATTCTTTGCTACAGCTGATAATTGATTGTATTCGTACAAGCCCAGCTTCTGTTAAACTTCCACATAAACAAAATGCATGTATACATGTAAACATACACTAATTTAAATTTGTATGCCAAATAACTTCAGCAATCTGTGGCCTT